GTGTGTGTGTGTGTGTGTGTGTGTGTGTGTGTGTGTGTGTGTGTATGTATATATCTGCCCGCCCATGTGGATGTTTTGTGTCAGGCAGCACATGCAATCAGATGAATTACATTATAGACATGTGCTCAGACAGTAACGCACACGCACCAAACCTCCTGGGTTCTTATTAAAGCTAAAGCTGGAGTGAACCTTCAAAAACGCCAGTTCATTAGTGATCCAGGGATAAGCTGAACCCAGCTGGGGAAGCAGCGCTGCTATTGATGAGAAGATATGAAGCAGAAAGAACTCCTGCCAAAAACACCAGCTCTGCGCTCCATTTCGCTGCTCCTCATTGGACATTCAACTAAAAATCATTCAGACATGTCAAGGTGCGATGTAGACGTACAGGCCTTTTGATTCAGAAGCTTAAATTGGAGAATGCGGGGAGAAGATCTTGAAGGTTATAAAGTGAAAGTTCAAACAAAAATGGTTAACAAAGGTCTGATATCAAGCAATTATTCTCTCCTGTTTTACAGGCTGTTACGGTGTGAAGCCAGACTCTGTCAGGGATTCCTGGATGTGCTCCAGGTGTGCAAAAGGAGCCTGGACAGTGGTGAGTAGCAGCACTACCTTATGCAAAGCAAAGATCATATGGTTCCAACACAAGTCTCGAAAAAACAGTACGATCTTCTCCGGAACTACAAGTATTAAGCTGAAACCATTCTGCTGCCGCAGTGTGTCATATGACATGCATCAATCGGCACCCCACGCTCCAATAGGAAGCGTCTCGCTGCAGAAGACCACTCATAGCCGTGTTCTTTTCCCACTACACTTGATACATAACGGTCAAAAAAACAACGAAATGCCATGAGCAAGTTGCTTGTTTAAAATGTAAAATGAAAATGTATAATCTGAGTAGTGAGATTATGTTTTGAAATCTATTCTTTAACAATCACAAGAGACAGTGACAGCAACGTTTGAGGAGAGGAAGTTGAGCTGCCACGGGAGCCTGGATGTACAAGTAGGGAGAGTGGGGGAAAAACATTTTTGTTTTATCACGGCTGGATAAATAAGACAGTTGTGTGAAGTGTCACGGGGGCTGCGTGTCCATGAGCGCCAGCGCACGCCTACCCGTCAGTGATGGGGTTGTACACTGTACATAGAAAAAAAAAAAAGGGGGGCGGCTGTTTTGACGTGATTTTGGCCTTTACAATTAAATCTGAAGAAATGGGTGAAGCTGTTTCTCAGAGTTGACTGGACCTGCAGCCTCTATTTCCTCACAACTTCTGCTATAATCTGCTGTTGTAAAGACTGTTCTAGACAGGTAGGTAGGTAGATGGAGGGATGGCTAGTTAGCCAATTATGGAGCCCAGCTGCTATTGCAAAAACAAACCAATGTATTGCCTGGAAAAAGACTAAATTGACCAAGGTATGAGGGCTCAGAAGATCCGTGTCAGAGTGTCTTCTCTTTCCATCTCTGCCGACACCTAATCCTCATTTGCTTCCTGTTTTCCAGGAGTGTTGTCTCTGTAACTTGCGGGGAGGAGCTTTGAAGACAACCACAGACAACCGGTCAGTAGCATGTTCTTGGATTTATTGTTTTTTCTTGTGTGCAGAATTTGCCTAGAATATCACAACCTTGCACATTATGAAACATAATTCCAGAGTAATCAATTTAACAGCTATAGATATAATATGATTATTATTGACTTTTCATTTCCTGAGGATTTCTGATGGCTTGAACATACTCTATATGTAGGTTATGATATAAAATATGAGATATCCACACATTTTCTAACGCATCCAATCTAGTCCTGTACATTTCTTTTGGAACGGACTTTGTAAAGCAAGCACAGAATATGTGGAAATAGTTTTGTTTTTGTTGGTTAATAATTTGGTTTGATTGATTGGGTTGGTGTTGTGGTCCCAAGGCTGTCAGGGACTTGTTAGGTTGTCCGGACAGAGCCTCGGGGTCCGCTGGCTTTAGGTCTTTGCAGATTAGGACTGTGTGATGGTATATATGGTCACTAGTTTTTAGGTGATTGTAACATTTCATTGCTCTTTTTATGCATTTACAATATGAGGGGGTATTGTTTTCTTCCTCTGTAACCAGGTGGGTCCATGTCATCTGTGCCATCGCTGTAGCTGAAGCTCGCTTCGTCAACGCCATTGAGAGGGAGCCGGTGGATGTCGGTGCCGTTCCAGATACACGCAAGAATCTGGTAAATTCAGGCAGAGACGAAGCAAAAATGTGTTCATCTCTCATGATTTAATGTGATGTCAGACAGACGGGGATCAACATTTAAACCAAAGCAAGGTCATCTTTACAGTCACAATCTTCATCCTCTGCCTTTAGTTTCTAACTTACTCACTGCAGCCGTTAAATTTCTTTTCTTGTCCGAGCGTTATGGACTTCTCTCTTCCTACCTTATCTCCTTCTCCTACGGCCTTTTCCCATATTTAAGCGATCTCACTGCTTCTGTATCCGCCACTCTCTCCGTAGCCCTCCCTGCTATCCCTGGTGAATGGATAGATCGTTTTTAGCGAGCTGTGGAGGACATGGGGTACCCGTGCTGAGGGGAATGGCTGAATAATCTGCTGTCATTTCTCACTGCGCCAAATGAACTGCATAAATCCCGTGGGTAGGAGGCAATTTCCCCATTGCTGCCGTGTCTTTGAACACAACTTGTCCTCTTTCTCCCCATCCCCCCTTCCCGGTCTCTGCTCTTCCTCCAGTCTCATGAGCCCACCTCACAGGCAATGGCTGTGCTTTCTTGTGCATTATAACAAATCTACACATAATGTCACCGCTCTCCCTCCCCATCTCTCTGTATAATCTATCAGAGACAAGTCATTTGCGTCCGAGTGCTGTCAAAGCAGGTTTCCTCCTCCGTCTCCTCCTTAAGAGGCCATAAGAAGAAGCTCTGTGGTCTAATGATTTGGATGACTGGGCTGATCAAATGTGAACACGCACACTTGGAAACCAGTTAATATTGCAGTGTGCTCAGCAATCTGTGTTTCCCCCTCTATCTTCAAACATTGGGTTTTCAGGGACCGCGCTGCTTTTGTCTTGGATGTTTTAGAATTTCTCAGCCACAGTAACACCGTTATTCCTCAAACATGTAATGTAAAGAGAGTGTTGTATCTTGCGCCTAGAGGCAGTTTCTGTTCTTGTAAGAAAATGGCCTCAAGCTTGGAAAAACAAGCTGCTTAAATAAATGATCGTACGATCTTTAAAACTGTTTTCCACCTACCATGCCAGGTCAATTCGCCCGTGACATGCAACAACACACAAACCAAAACAATGAAAATGATTTTCAGTTTTATCAGTATTTGCTACCGTTATAATTTTGGAGTTTGCAGTTTACTTCAGAGGGTAGATTTAGTGTGCACTGGCATACAAAGTGTATTATGCTACCAGAGGATAGACACAAAATCAGACATCTTACAATTCTATAAATGGAGGCTCGCAAGGTTGTAGTTAAATTCTTTCAAAAGTTACAGATGAACAAACAAATGGACATACAACTAATGATACTTGGTGCTAGATGTCCCCAGCTATGCCTGCGATCTCAGCAGTGGAAAAGTATTCCAGCTGTTGAAAACTATAAACCCACACCAGCCTGTGAAATATTACACGACACCGCTCTGTTGAGACCTTTGCCAAACGAGGTCACACAATGCAAACGTATTTGCACAGGGGGACTTGAGAGCTCACCTGCAGACGTACGCCATAAGCACACGCATCACCAGTGTTTGCGTAATTGCTTCAATGCCAGAGGGGAGGGGGGGGGG